CTTCTGCTACATGCATATAAACAGAAATAATCCTCATTATACCATGTAATCAACTTTTAATTATATTTTTTGAATTAAAACTGAAAGTCTTTGACAAGGAACATCAGTCAGAATTTAGTGAGCGTTTTGTATGTTTGTGTTACCACACAAAATTGGGGTTCTCTGCCTGATGCACATGAACAAGCCAATTAATTATGGCACCAGCCTTTGAGGGGAGAAATTAGCTTTATTCTGCAAGATCGATCTCCAGGGAGACAGGGGGCGTGGGCCCTCAGATCTCTCCCCGATTCAGGATTTGGGACAAAATTTAAGAGGTTAGGGAAAACAGGTTGGCATGTGGAAATGCTGGTGGGACAGGTTTTGATTGGTGGGCTTCAGGTATTTATGGTAAGGTTTGAAACATTTATGATGAGGTTCTAAACATTTATGATGAAGGTGGGAAGGAATTTTAACACCGGATCTTCCTGAGTGAGGGACCCCTCGCTTCTGAGAAGAGTCTGGCTTTCAACTTCTGCTCACGTCCCGGTCCTTGGAGTCCGTAGAAGGAGGATCTTTGGTTCTGAGGACGTTTCAGCTCATGATTTCTTCTTTTGCATGTGCCCCTATGTGACTTTGCAGTTTTTCTGAAAGACAGTCCTTAATCATTTTGTTGATAAGAGATGGGGTCTGTTCAAACTGGCTCTAAATGGGCCTGTTGTTATATTTGAATTGTAAATATAATTGTTGATATTTAGTGAGTGCTTATTGGGTGATAGTTATTGAATTATCCCATTTAATCATCACAACAATTCTCTAAGGAAGTTACTATTATTATTCCCATTTTACAAATGAGAAAATTGAGATTTAGATTTAGATTGAGAAGTTAGGTGACTTCTCAGATTTACATAGCTAGTAAGTGGTAGAGCCACTTAATTGCTCTAATCCATCATCCTTTTTTTCTAGACAATTTTTTAAAATGTGTAAATATTTTCTTTTATAATTGCGGAGTGAAAGATTCAGGCCAATTTATATGTTTTTTGATATTAGTGTTTGTTGGAATCGCTGATTTCAGATCCAATAGCTAATTGTAACAGACTGAGATTGCCAGGCACTAATATACCAGGAGGTAAAATCCGAGTTCCAAGTTTGCTTATCTGTTTGCTTGCTTTTTAAAAAAATCTTTTTTACTAAGGAAAATTTCAAACAAATACAGAAGTAGAGATACTAGAATAATGAAGCTTCAATCTCCATCATCCAGTTTACATAATTATTAACTCATGGCCAATCTTTCTTTGTCTCTACCTTTACCTACTTCCCTTTGGGTTATTTTGAAGCAAACTCCAGACATTATTTAATTTTATCTATAAATATCTCAACATATATCTCTAAAAGATAAGGATTCTTTTTAAAAAATGACCACAATATCATTATCTCACCTAAAACAATAGTAATTCCTTAATATCATGAAATATCTAGTCAGTGTTTAAATTTTCTCACTTTTGTTTAAAAGTAATTTGTTTGAATCAGGATTGAAATAAGGTTCACAGATTGCAGTTGTTTGTTTTCCTTAAGATTTTCTTGACATATAGGTATCTCCCTATCTCTTCTTTTTCTGCTTGCAGTTTATGTGTTAAAGAAACCAGTTTGTCCTATAGAATTTGCCTCAGTCTGGATTTTGCTAGTTGCTTCCTTGTACATCTGTCCCTTGTATTTTCTGTAAATTGTCATTTACATTTAGAGGTTAGATTAGAATCAGACTTAATTTTCTTGTAGGGGGAGCAGATTACGTCAGAGGTATCGTTGTGTCCTATCTGGAGGTACAGTGTCTGGTTGTTTCTTTTCTGTGGTGTCAGCAGCCATTAGCGATCATTGTCTAGCTTTGTTATTTCATTAGTGGCTGCAAAATGGCAATATTCTAATTCTGTCTTTCTAATATTTCCCCTTTCATTTAGTAGCTAGAATAATTCTGTAAAGAAATAATACCCCTTATCTACTATTTTGTTGTTTTGAGATACAGCTTGTAACAGTGTATAGGCAAGATACATGTTTGATTTTTTTTGTCTTTATATATCGATTTTCAGATGAATGAGTTGGTTCCCTAGCATCTTCCAAAGGGGACTGGTTTCTTAAAATATCATATGACCTCATGGATTTAAACATACTTAAAGTGTTTTAATCTTTTGCTGATATATTCTTCTTGATTATGAAATTGTCGCATGTCTGGCTTACAGTAGGAGCTTCTTCAAGTTGGCTCCTGAGCCCTATTGACACTGCATCAGGAGTGTCTGATAGCTTCCTTGCTTTCTAGTATGACCAAATTTCTGGATTCTTAGATTCATCTTGTATGTTTCCTCCCTCAGGTATGGAATTAGACATTTTACAGGGTGCTCTAGTTTCTTTTAAAGGGAAATAGTATTTAGACACTACATCTGGGTGCTAGGAATGTTTGTTGCTACTAGTTTGTTGTTTCTAGGATTTTTCAATGGACAGAGCTAGGAAATAGATTTTATATTTCTTTAAAAAAACTATCATAAATTCATACTGACACTCCTAATTCAAATTTTGGACTACAGAGTTTTAATACTTATATTAGCTTATGTTTGTTTCGTCACATGTTGAAAATGCTAATGTCTAACCGTACCAACAGAATTACTCATTTGCTTTACAGTGCTTATGTGCTAGTCTGAGAATAACAATACCAGCAATATGATTTTTGAAAATAGTTTTGTGTGTGTGTGTGAAGAAGATCAGCCCTGAGCTAACATCCGATGCCAATCCTCCTCTTTTTTGCTGAGGAAGATTGGCTGTAGGCTAACATCCATGCCCGTCTTCCTCTACTTTATATGGGATGCTGCCACAGCACGGCTTGACAAGCAGTGCATTGGTGTGTGCCCAGGATCCGAACCTGCGAATACTGGGCCGAGAAGTGGAGCGAGTGCGCTTAACTGCTGTGCCACCAGGCCGGCCCCTGAAAATAGTTTTTGGAAAGATTTTTTGCACTTTTTTTGGTCAGTAGGATATTTCTCACTAGGGATATAAGTCAAATTATTGTGTTTTAAAGTCGTTTGAACTGGTTAATCTGTGTGGTTTAACCACCAACTGTATATATAGTTAGACTCATTTGTTTGATTTTCTTTTGATTTATAAGGAATTGCTTTTTAAAGATGTAATTTCTAGGGGCTAGCCCGGAGGCATAGTGGTTAAGTTTGCGTGTTCTGCTTTGGCGGCCCAGGATTTGCAGTTTCGGATCCCAGGCGCAGACCTATGCACCACTCATCAAGCTGTGCTTCCCACAAGGCAGGCGCCCCACAAATAAAGTAGAGGAAGATGGGTTCGCGTGTTAGCCCAGGGCCAGTCTGCCTCAGCAAAAAGAGGCAGATTGGCAGTAGATGTTAACTCAGGGCTAATCTCCCCCTACAAAAAAAAGTCTGATTTCTAAAAATTGTAATTTCCAAAGTCAAGTCTACAAAAGTTATAAGAAGTTATAACTTTTAAAAGTTAAAGAAGTCTGGCCCCTGTCCCTGTCCCTAAACTCTGCTTCCTCATTGCTTTAATAGCTTCATATTTCTGTTCTTTATGGTGTGGGTGTTTATAGTGTATGTAGCCAGTTCCTTATTGATGGTCATTTTGACTGTTTTAGTCCTTTACCACTCCAGTAGTGCTGCAGTGAACAATAGTAGTGCTGCCTTGTGCATATATCTTTTTTCATATATTACTAGAACCACTATACTTTTAACACTGATTTCATCAATGGGATTTCTGTTTCTTCTAAATATTAAAAACAATTATTCTAATTATAAAAGTAATCCAATTTCATTTTATTAGAAAAGAAAAACATATTAAGAGAGAGATAAAATCATCTAAAATTCATGTTGCCCAGACAGATAACTATTTTGGTGTATATGTATCCCTTGCTTTGTAATTTTTTTTCAGTTCCTTAATTCAGATAGGAAGATATTCAGTATTTTGAATGAATATGTGTAGTTGAAATCATATTATATACACTGGTTTGAATTTATTTTTCCTCATAATAGTATAAGCATTTTCCTTGTTAAACTTTTTGTAAACATTTCTTACAGCTGCATGATATTATGCTGTATTGATTTTTACAGTACTTTTCTTAATTATTCTGCAACGGTTAGACATTAGGTTGCTTCTTTTTTATAAAAAATAACTTACACTGCATTAAACATTTATGCATAACGTTTCCCCTATTTTTAGGGTTATTTTCTTGGTATCCAGGAATGGAATTATTGGATCAAAGGTTAAAAGCACAATTAAAGTTTCAATACATCTTGCCAACTTTTTTCCCAAAGATTCTGTGGATCTTTTCTTGATAGCCATTCTGGCAGCATTGAGTGCTGTTTTGAAAAATCTTTGATAATTTGATAGTTTTAAAAATGGTGTCTGAGATTGAGTATTTTTATGTGTGTATCATGGGTCTTAACATGTATTTGTTCCTTTAACTTTTGACCTCGTATTTTTCTTATGGAGTGATATAAGGTATTTATTTATGTGTTAAGGATGGTAACCATTTTTCTGTCATGTTGCAGATGTTTTTCATCAGGTGTTTTAATTTGATTAATATTTTATGTACTTTAGTTTTACATTTTTATGTAGTTAATCTTAGATATTTTTCTTTGTTATTAGCAGTCTTGTTCTTTACCACCACCACCACTATCCATCCAAGAAAGAAAAAACTGGTGATTTGATCATTATTCACCTGTTAAAAATCTAGCATTTGTGCTGATATAAATCTTAAGGTTCAAGAGAATCAAATTCAGTTAACATTTATTCAGAAGCAGTTATATGTCGGGTACTTGACGTGTTCTCTGTCTAGGCTACGACCATCTGTCTTTTCCCTAAATACTGTAAATAACTACATGAAAATATAAATGAATTGTAGAAAAATTGTAAGCAGTATATTATTTAGCTTTTAGTATCTTTCGTTGTAATTAACTGTAGAAATCTGTTTCATGAAATATGATGTGTTTCACTCCCCCTTCCTTAATTGTAGAGGCAGAAAGTGTGTCTTCTGGTTATTAATGTGAATTGTGAACTGCGGATCCGTAGAGAAAACAAACTGCACAGACAGGAATATTATCAACAAAATCTGAAGACTGAAAAATGCTCTTCACGCTTGTCATGGATTTTTCAGGAGAAAAAAATCTGTGAAATTATGTAAATAGAGACCATATTTCAAAACCATGGGGGAAAGAGGAAGAAGTCCAGATACTGATCAAGAAAGTAAGGCAGGCCAACACCGTTACTCTTACTGTTCATCTGATTTTGGAACTACACCGCGGTCTTCTGGCCGGTCATCGCTGGTCAATTCCTCTTCACCCACGAGTATTAAGGGAAAAAATCCTAAAAGACAAATTTCAGATAGCCAAGTGCGTCACCTTGGTAAGTGTTAGAGTCCGGTAGACTAGAAGACTCATTTTGAGTGCTTAAAGAAAGCTTGATGAATGAAACTCTTCTGTTAGTATGTATATTGACATATGCATGGAAATTGGCTGATTTACATTTTGAATAGGATATATTTTTATGAATTTATATAAATGTTCTTTATGGTACTGTGTATTATCCTTTGTTATATTGAAAGTCATACTATATACAGAAGGAAGAACCATAACTAAGTCTTCTCATTTTGTTTTCTACCTAAATAAATGCTTGTCTTGGGGTTTCTGAGGTATTATAAAGGCATTTTTAAAAAGTAGTGAAAGGCACTGATATAAAGTGGTAAGGGACATTTTTGTTCAAATTAAAACCTAGAAATGGAATTTGGGACTCAGGACCACCAGTCTGTTTTCTGTTAAACTGTGCTATAATGGAAACAAGATTAATCATTACAAATAATTTTTCTTATTAAAATGTTATTAGTCTGGAACTAGGTATTAATACATATTTGATTAGGTAATGTTCTAGAAATCTCTTCTTAATCTAATAAATCCCTGGTCAAGAAAACCCCAATGTACTAAGTAACAAAATGTGTAAGGACTATAAGTACACCATAGAAAAATAAGCTAAGGTAAATAAGGTAATTATAGTATGCATTAATAAATGCAGCACAGTTATAACAGCAGTAGCTGAGAATGGTGAGCCTTTACATTGCATGGCAGGGAGTGGTAACCTTGGGAGCTGAAAAGGAAAATGGCCAGGTCATGTAACACCTTGAGTCCTGTGCTAATATATTGACTGTTTCTGTGGGGGAATAGTTAGCCATTGAAAAGATTTAAGCAGGGGTGTAATTAAATTTGCCTTTGTAAATTTTTACTTTGAAAAGTAATATTTGCTCTTTAAAAATCTGCAAAGAATATATGTTCCTTTTGAAAGCTACCTTTTTATGGACCCCTTATCTAGCTTCCTAGGGATGTCCATACTTTTAACAGTGGGGTGCTTTTTCTTTCTTTCTTACAATGCTGCAAGTTTTTTGGTCTCTTCCTCCAGATCTGTGTCAGTGCAGGCCTCTTGTTTTGATTTTGTGGTTGAGAGCATGATCTGATATTAAACTTTTGCTATATAATTAAGAACAAACAGACATTATGGTTGAACCTTAGAAGATCCTATTTATTCCCAAGAAATAATTTATATATCTAGGGAATGATTGGTAGGAATACTTTAATTTTTTACTTTTTCTCCAGAAACAGTTTAGGACACCACCCAAATAAGGAGTCAGAACTTCTTAAGCCTTATCTTATTTGAGAAGATAATTGAGAAAAAGCTATGAAACAGTTCCGGCATCACCCATAAAAATTTTAATTATTGTCTTCAATCTGACTTGTACTGTTTTCTGCTTTGCATTGTCTTCTGAATTAAAATCTGTGGTAATTTGTCTACCTCAGATCAAGCAACAGAATCAAACTGATACCTTTCCTTAAACCCTAAGTTAATTTCTCTTGGTTTAAGTTGCAATCACCAGTGTAGACCAAACTAAGGAAAGAACAAATGTGATTGAAATAGCATCTTGAACACTTGAACTTGAGGATTTGCTTTTTTTTTTTTTTTTGATGGGGAAGATTGGCCCTGAGCTAACATCTGTGCCAATCCTCCTCTATTTTTTTGTACGTGGGATGCCGCCACAGCGTGGCTTGATGAGTGGTGTGTAGGTCTGTGCCGGGATCCAAACCTGCGAACCCCAGGCTGCTGAAGTAGGGCATGCCAACTTAACCACTATGCCACGGGGCTGGCCCCGCAGATTTGCATGTTTTTGATAGCATATTCTTCCTCCTTTTTAATTTTCAGCATATTTTATTATTTTTAAAAATGAAATTGGTGCTCTATCAGAAGTTATATGTATAATGATAAAGTTTAATAACAGTTTAGGTTACACATGTTTGTGTATTTATTATATTTCTTGTTTTATCAGTAATATAAACATCTTGAGTTTTTGGTAGATGCATAGTTTATCTTTACTACATGTTTTTTAAATGAGTCATATTTTATTTTTAACCTGTGAAGGAAGAAAAAAGCAATATTTTACCACCCTCTTTTTGGTGGTGACTTTTACAAGGGGGAGATGAAGAATGATATACACGACAGTCAATTATCTTTCTTCTTCTCACTCCTATTAGCACTATATTTCATCTTGATAGTTTTAAAAATGAAAATAAAAAGGTAGATGAAAGATGGGAGATAATTTTTGAGTTCAGATTAAGTGTACTTTTTTGTGTGTCTGTGAGGGAGATTAGCTGTGACCTAACATCCATTGCCAATCCTCCTCTTTTGCTGAAGAAGGTCGGCCCTGGGCTAACATCCTTGCCCATCTTCCTCTGCTTTATGTGGGACATGGGAGGCCGCCACAGCATGGCTTGACAAGCCGTGTGTTGGTCTACACCCAGGATCCGAACCTGCAAACTCTGGGCCGCTGAAGTGGAGTGCGTGAACTTAACCACTATGCCACCAGGCCGGCCTCATGTTTAGGTGTACTTTTAATGATCAGTTGGTAGTCGTACTAATAGAATATGCTAAAAATAAATGTTCAGATTTTTAGGATGTCAAAAAATTGGTTGTAGAAGCCCTTTCTGTCTGACTAAATAGTTGAAGTAAAATATTAGTGGAAAATTTTTATCCTAATTCTTATATAGGCTTTAACTTTTCATATGTTTCAAACATGTTTGTTTGTATGAAATCTTATTTGCTGAACAATGTAATTTTATACATGAAAATCAGAGATTTGGAACGATTAACATTCATCTTTATGGATAATCATTTTAATATGTAAAGTTTCTGTCATTCTAAGAGCTGAGTACATATTCCATAATAGCATATAGGTACCAAAACTGTTAACTCAGTATGTTCGGAAAGAAATAAAATTGAAATGATGAATGCTTCATTTTAAAATTGAAGCAGTGCTGTTCATTGGAAGTATAATGCAAGTCACAAAGGCAAGCCACATGTGTAATTTTATATTGTCTAGTAACCACATTAAAAAGAAAAACAGGTGAAATTAATTTGAATAATTTATTTTACCCAACATAGCCAAAATGTTATCATTTCTAAATATAGTTAATATAAAACATTTTGTATGGGACATTCTGCATTCTTTATTTGAATTAAGTGTTTGAAATCCAGTGTGTAGGGCCGGCTCCGTGGCTTAGCGGTTAAGTGCGCGCGCTCTGATGCTGGCGGCCCGGGTTCGGATCCCGGGTGCGCCCCAAGGCACCACTTCTCCGTCCAGCGCGAGGCTGAGTCCCACGTACAGCAACTAGAAGGATGTGAACCTATGACATACAACTATCTGCTGGGGCTTTGGGGGGAAAAAATGAATAAATAAAATCTTTAAAAAAAAAAAAAGAAATCCAGTGTGTATTTCAGAGTTATGGCATACCTTAGTTTGGACTACCCGCGTTTCAAGTTTCTCAGTAGCCACGTGTGGCTTGTGACTACTATATTGGATAGCATAGTTTCAAAGTTGCAAGTAGGTTTTCCCTCATTTCTTTTTATTACAACTTCCCTTCCCGTATTCAACCATTTATGGAGTTGGAATCCCAAATCAGTACACATTCAAAACACCTTCTTTAAAATCGTCCATCTTTTTTTTTTGTGAGGAAGATCAGCCCTGAGCTAACATCTGCCAATCCTCCTCTTTTTGCTGAGGAAGGCTGGCTCTGGGCTAACATCCATCCCCATCTTCCTGCACTTTATATGGGACACCACCACAGCATGGCCTGACAAGCGGTGCGTCCTCGGGATCTGAACTGGCGAACCCCGGGCCGCTGCAGCGGAGCGTGCACACTTAACCGCTTGCGCCACTGGGCCGGCCCCAAAATCTTCCATCTTTTTAGTGAAACTTTGTAATGTTAAGTAGTAAATGTTACTTGTTATTCTTTACTTGTTTACATAATGGAATCAGGATATCCCTGGCTGGGAGATCAGTAGGGAAAGGTTGGATGTTCTAGTTTTGCTTCTTTTTTTTTTTTTTTTTTTAACTCTGGAATGTATTTCCTTCTTGAAAAAATGTAGTCACCTTGGAGATTAATGTTCATTATTCTCAACTGTGGCAGACTTCCAGATGTCTCTTAAAGGGCAGGTGCTCTGTATATTGAGGCCTAAGTTTAATGAACTTTTAGTAAAAATAGTAACATTCCAAATTTTTGTGAAATGTGATTTAATATGTATACTTGAAAGATTTCATATACCTATACTTTTTAGGATGTAGTTTTTTGTTTTTATTTTGTTCTCAGATTATGTCAGATGTTTTTATTTGAACATCACACAAAAGAAAGCCCCTGAGAAAGCATTTAGAATCACATCTGTACTGCTAAACTGGTTTCTATCTTTAATCACTGATAAATGGGATTAAGTTCTTACTACTGACAGAGAATATTTGTGGAGAAGTTTCTGTCTTAAATGCATACTTCATTTAATCCTCACAACAACCTAGTTGTGTAGGTGGTGTTATCTTCATTCTATGGGTGGGGAAAATAGACCTGGAAAAGTATAGTTGAATTCCCCAAGGAGTTATTAAGTGGTAAATCTGAGTCCCAAACCCAAATCTTCTCACTGTACAACATGTTGTCATCCTGTTTGCTCAAATAAAGAAAAAGAGTTCTAATTAATTTAGAGAAAACATTCATTTCCACATTTCAAATAATGATCCTAAATATCTTGGCACAAATGACTTGAATATTACAATGTTTTGTCCAGTGTTTATTAGGCCTCATGCTAGTGCTGATGATGGCCATGTTTGAATTCTGGCTTGCCATCTTATAATAAAGTTAAAAAATGGTAAAACCTGATACTGCCATCTTTTAAAGCAATGTAAAATAATTCCCTGTGAACTATTGGCATGTCATTTTGATGGATCAGAATATTCTTGACCTTTCTTAAAAGATTCCAAGTCTTTCTTAATAAAAACATTATATTAAGAGCTCTAAATAAAACCTGGTATTTAAATATAGTAAAAGCATTTTTTAAGGAACGTAATAACTAAAGAATCCACTTGTGTTAGGATGAATATATAATACTACATTAGTTAGGTACAGTTTTCACTTTACATTATTACTGTTTCTCTTTTAGTCCCTAGGAAACCAAGCCCTAAGGGTCCACCAAACAGAAAGGGAGTCCGAGTGGGATTTCGCTCCCAGAGCCTCAATAGGGAGCCACTTCGGAAAGATACTGATCTTGTTACAAAACGGGTTCTTTCTGCAAGGCTGCTAAAAATCAATGAATTGCAGAATGAAGTAACTGAACTCCAGGTCAAGTTAGCTGAGCTGCTAAAAGAAAATAAGGCTTTGAAAAGGCTACAATACAGACAGGAGAAAGCCCTGAATAAGTTTGAAGATACAGAAAATGAAATCTCACAACTTATTGCTCGTCATAACAATGAGATTACGGCACTGAAAGAGCGCTTAAGAAAATCTCAAGAGAAAGAACGGGCAACTGAGAAAAGGGTGAAAGATGCAGAAGGTGAACTATTTAGGACAAAATTTTCCTTACAGAAACTGAAAAAGATCTCTGAAGCTAGACACCTACCTGAACGAGATGACTTGGCAAAGAAATTAGTTTCAGCAGAGTTAAAATTAGATGACACCGAGAGAAGAATTAAGGTAAAACTTCTACAGCTTCTGGTTGTGCTGTTTCGTGGTGTTTTTCATTGGGCATTTAATGTGCTCTGTTAAGACTGCTTATTGCAGTTCTGCATTTGCTTGGAAATTAAAACTATTTTTTTTTAGTAGTATCTTTCTGAATAAGAGATTAGGAAAAATTTAAGATTGTATATTTAAGAGGAAGATGCAAAAGACTGTATGCGTTAATAGGCTACATGTTAATGGATGAATGTTTAATTTGTGGAGCTTAGTCATTTTGGGGAAATACACTATTTGATTTTCTGATTGTTTCTCTAAAATTGAAAATGATACTATAATAGCTGTATAAAACTGACATTTTGGGGCCATTGTGTAAGAAATGCCATGTGAACAATGCTTTCTGTTTTTATGTCTTTGAACATTTGTGAAAGGCATCTTTTGGGGCAGGGTGTGTCCCTATTCCCTGAAATAAAAACTGATATGAGAGGTGGGTGGAAGAAAATTGAGTTACTAGTCTGAGAATACAGCAGGTCTTTCAAAAATATATTTTGCTTGAAACGAGAGAAGGAAAGAGTACCACCCCATGACTGTTACACAGAGAACTTACATTAGATGCTACCTGGTGAATATATATGCATCAAACAGAAGCCCCGAGTCAGGGCTTGGAATTGCTTAGAATTGACAAGTAGTTTGGAAAGCAAAGGTAGGGAAAAAGTATGGGAATAATGCCTCTCTGTGAAAGCTCTCTGAGCAAGGGCAAGTCAGAACTATAAATTAATTAGCTTTCTGAAATGTATTAATTAGGTGTTTTTAATATATGGTTTGCTATAGTACTTCTTCGTCTGTATAATATACCATGCTCAATATAACAATGCCATACCCAGGGGCAGTGGCTTATTAAATACAGTGTACATCAGTAGCCAAAAAGTGCCTAGCTTATTCTCCAAAATTAGCAATCGTTGTCTTCTGTTTCAGTACATGGAAGATATCCTATTGTATAGCCTCCACCAGTGATCAACTCAAACTGCAGAGCAAACATATGGAAACTTTTTTTTAAGGGCCACTTATGTATAAGGTGGGATGGAGGTAGGGGCTGGAAGCAGTTATTGTCATAAATGACAAATAGCTGACATTTAAATTATTTTTAAAGGAAAGTATTAAAATGTGCTACATAATGGATTTGAAATTAAGAACCAAGGGCACAGAATGCTAATAAGTGTGATAATAAAAGCCCTCTGTGTCTTTGTATAAAAATAGAACATGGAATTACGGTGCATACACACACACGCACACACACATATACAGTGTGATTCTCTCTTATAGCCAGTTATGAAGAGGATTGATGTAGTGATGGAAGAGGGAGGAGAAAGAAGGAAGATGGAAAAACAGAATAAGTCTGGATTCTAAGTTGTAGATTGAGTGGCTGCCCGCTTGGGAGCATGAAAATCAGTAATCTGTAATCATAAGTCTTCGAAATACTTGTTCACTGTTTAGTGTCCTCAATTCTTACTTTTTTTTCTTTTAAAAAAGTTTTTTTAACTTTTTATTTTGAGTTAATTGTAGATTGATAGGCATTTGTAAGAAAATTATATAGAGAGATCCCGTACACCCTTCATTGAGTTTCCCCAGTGGTAACATACTGCATAACTAGGATATAATATTACAACCAGGAAATTGGTTGTGATACATCGATGCCATCCGTTAACCTTATTAAGTTTTCACCAGTTGTACATGCACTCACTTCTGTTTGTGTGTGTGTGTATTTAGTTCTGTGCAATTTTATCTCGTGTAGATTCATGTGACCCCCACCATAGTCAAGATGCAGAACAGTTCCATCACAAGGATCCCTTGTGTTACCAACTTGTATAGGCACAGCTACCTTCCTGCCTTCCCCACTCTGTAAACTGTGGCATCCACTAATCTGTTCACCATTTCTATAATTTTGTCATTTTAAGAATTTATATAAATGGAATGATATAAATGATATAAATTCAATCTTTTGAGATTAGCAGATTTCATTTTTTTTGTGAGCTCCATCCAAGTTGTTGCATATATCAATAGTTTGTTCCCTTTTTATTCCTGGGTAGTATTCCATGGTATGGATATACCACAGAGTGTTATGCTACGTCCTGTTGAAGGATGTTTGGGTTGTTTTCAGTTTTTAGCCATTAACTAATAGAGCTGCTGTGATCATTTATGTACAGGTTTTTGTGTGAACATAAATTTTCATTTCTCTGGAATATATGCCTGAAAGTGCACTTGATGGGTTGTAGGATAAGCGCATGTTTGGTGTTGTAAGAAACTGCCCTTCTCTTTTCCAGAGTAGCAGTACCGTTTTACATTTCTATCGGCAATGCATAAGTGATCCAGTTTCTCCACGTCCTTGACAGCATTTGGTGTTATCACTCTTTCTTATTGTAGCCATTCTGTTAGGTGTGCAGCAGTATCTTGTGGTTTTAACTTGCATTATTCCTAATGGCTAATGATGTTGAACATCTTTTCATGTGCTTATTTGCCATCTGTATATTCTATTCATTTTGTTCATATTTTTTGCCTATTTTCTAATTGGATTGTTTGTGCTTTTTCTGTTGATTTTTGAGAGTTCTTTATATTTTCTAGATACAAGTCCTTTGTCAGATATGTGGTTTACAAATATGTTCATTCAGTCTGTAGTTTGTCTTTTCATCCTCTTCACAGGTTCTATCAGAGGGAAAGTTTTAAATTTTGATATGGTCCAGTTTATCAGAATTTTCTTTATGGATTCTGCTTTGGTGTCAAGTCTAAGAATTCTTCGCCTATCCCTATCACCCTTTGCCTGTAGCCCCAAAGATTTTCTACTGTTTTTATCCAAAAGTTTTATGGTTTTATTTTACGGTTTTTTTTTTTTGGTGAGGAAGGTTAGCCCTGAGCTAATATCCACTGCCAGTCCTCGTCTTTTTGCTGAGGAACATTGGCCCTGGGCTAACATCTGTGCCCATCTTCCTCTTTTATTTTTCTTTTAAGTCCATAATTCATTTTGAGTTAATTTTTTTATAAGGTGTGAGGTGTAGGTCGAGGTTCATTTTGCTTTTTTTTTTGCCTGTGGTGCCAGGTTGCTCCAGTACCATTTGTGGAAAACGCTATCCTTCCTCCATTGAATTTGTCACATTTGTCAAAAATCAGTTGGGCATATTTTTGTGGGTCTATTTTTGGATTCTCTAGTCTGTTCTGTTGATCTATGTGTCTGTCCCTCTGCCAATCCACACTCTCTCCATTAGGTGACACAGTAAGCCTTAACATCAGAGTGATTCCTCTCATGTTATGCTTTGTTTTTAAAATTTTAGCTATTTTAGCTACTCGAGGTCCTCTGCCTTTCCATATAAACTTTAGAATAAGCTTGTCTATGTTTATAAACACCTTCCTGGGATTTTGATAGGAAGTGCATTAAACATGGATCAATTTGTGGAGAATTGACATCTTTACTATGTTGAACTTTCCTATTCTTGAACACAGTATATTTCTCCATTTATTGAGGTCATCTTTGATTTCTTTCATCATCATTTTGTAGTTTTCAGAATATAAATCCTTAAGATTTTGTTAGACTTATACCTTAATATTTCATTTTCTTTGGAGCAATTGTAGTCTCAATTCTTTCTAGATGAGAAAATTACTTTTGAACTTTTATTTTCAAATTTCAAAGCTTATTTTTGTTGTAATAATTATTTTCACAGGGTGTTATGAATGTTTTAGGCAAATGAAAGAATGGCTTGGTTTTATAAATTTCCTCTCAAGTTTTAGGAGTGTTGAGTTTATTAGCTCTAAGCCTCAAAGTTTGGTTGGGAGCTCTAAACTGCTTCATTTCTGTTGTGATTGAAATTGTCTTGGAATCAACATGTAATATGTTATTATGAACCTGCTTCTCTCAAATCAGTCTCACTTCATCTGTTACACCATACTCACTCTCTCTGAATGGAAGAGCCTCTGCAACCACCTGAGGGTAATTTTTCTCACTTTTTAGCTTATCTTTTTATACTTCCTAAAGCCTTGGCCCATTATGTATAATTGTATCTTTCTTAATCTCAGTAATCAGTCCAGAATTTGAAATATTTACTATTGAGTTTCTTAGTATGTAATTTAGCTTTTGTTTTTGTACCTCAGTTTTTCAGATTTTACTCCATCCAACACTGAGTTAATCTTTTTTCTTCAAACTCAGTAGACTATAGTCAGTACCACTAATGGGGTAAGGGGGAAATCTAGGAGCTCGATTGTTGTTTTATTTTGCAAATTAACTAAAACCCAAGAATGTCCTGAGTATTCCTTGAAATTGCAGTAAAATCCTAGTAGGACTATCTTTAAGTTCTGTGCTATTCTTTCATAAGGATGGCTGTCTGGTGTTTTTTTGTTTTTCTTTTGGCATAGTTTTTAAGAGTCTGTCCTTAAGCTGGAACTTGTGGCAGGCAGCTTTGTTTATTTGTTTATAGATTGTCTCCTTCCAGGAAGGATTTCAGGCCACAATTCTTATTCTCCATGTGAGTTACATTTTTTTCTTAGGGGAGGGGGAAAAAAGCATTCTTCAAGGTTACCTATAAATAATTGAGCTGTGAAAAACTTCTCTCTGAATATCAACTGGTAAGTTGGGTTCAGGCTCATTTTGTTAGTTGATGGAAGTGACAGAATGCACAGAGTCTCAGTAATTTAAGAGAAGTGGATACGTGGTTAGAGAAACAAACAGCCAAAGGTGTGAGTGGAGACAGCCACCCCTGACAGTTGTTTTCCCCCTACCTTGTCCAATGTGGTCTGCCCAATCCCGGGCCATATACCAGGGGTGAAAAATTACTTGATGGGGCTAAACTTGTTGAGTTCTTTACAAAGAGTAGACAGCTAAATCGGACAACATATTTGTTACTTTATTTAAGGTTGGCTTTTTACCTTTATTTTGGCTTTTATTCAATAAATTTATTGAATAGGATCCTATCAAAGTAGCAGCCCCATTTTAATATATTTATTTCCATATTAATAGTTATACATATTAATTAAGCTTT